AGAGCCCAGGGAGAGCGAAAATGTGTGTAGGATCTGGAAGGGGACAGAAAGAGCTGGGTGCAGAGAGGTACCTGTGATGTGCAAAGCTCAGATGTCAACCCCACTCAGTCCCCAGCCTCAGCCTGTTCCCTGATTCTGGTCATCAGACTGCCCCCATCTTGGCACAATGAGGGGTATAGGCAATGGGGGTTCGTCCCATCCTTCAGTGAGGCTGCTCAGAGTGCCAGCCCAGCTGAGGGGTCTGTGGAGGAGACGAGGCTCGGGAGTCGCCACTCACCACAGCTTCGGCCCTCAGGAGATCGTGGATTGGTTCAATGCACTGCGAGCAGCCCGCTTCCACTACCTGCAGGTGGCTTTCCCGGGAGCCAGCGATGCGGATGTGAGTGGCTGCCCCAGAGGCACCTGCTGGGTAGGGGGTTGGGGAGGCAGCTATCGGTGTCGGGTCATAGGACTGATCAGCGGTATAGCAACAGGCCCCTAGAGAGGTACCAGGGTTGGCTGCATGCAGGTCTTCAGTCTGGGGTTGGCACCCCGCTAGAGGGGCATGCCATGCTGGGCGCACAGTCTAGGGGGTAACACGGGGTGGGCTTCACTACCATTTGTCTTGTCTGTTCTGCCCCAGCTGGTGCCCAAGCTCTCTCGGAACTACCTGAAGGAAGGCTACATGGAGAAGACCGGGCCCAAGGTAGGTGCCGAGCAGCAGACTTTTAGGTCTGTTAAAGGTCAGCCATCTTGCTTCTGTCTGTCTGGGGGTTGCTTGAGGTCAGGCTGGGTGCTGGGTCACTGGACGCACTGGGCACAGTGACTCACTGATTCACTGGGCCAGTCCTTTCCCGGGTGCATCCCGTGTATCCTAGGGCTGTGGCCTTGAGCTTCAGGGTGGTCCTTGAGTCCCCTGTCTGTGTTGTGGTGCTGGCATGAGGACGAGTGATGAGGCTGCAGGTTCTAGGGCATGAGTCAGCCTGAGCCTCCTGCCCTCAGGCCCCTCTTTAGGAGGGACTGTCACATCTGTTCTATAACACAGTAGCGTACATTCAAGGTCTGGACCCTAACCTGGACCTCAAGCATGCCGAGGGCCCCTCACACACTGGCTGGCCAGCGCGGTGCCTGTGAGGCCCTGCCTCTGTGTGTTGAGTGGGGGTCAGCTGGGGCAGAGGAACGCCTTGAGGCTGCTGACTGCTTCCCATCCTCCCAACCCACAGCAGACAGAAGGCTTCAGGAAGCGCTGGTTTACCATGGATGACCGGAGGCTCATGTACTTCAAAGACCCCCTGGTAAGGAAGGTCTGGCTCCAGTTGTTCCCCCCCCCCCCCCCCCCCGCTGCCCCACTGACCTGTTTCAGGGGTGACTGGTGAACGGGTCTGGGATTCCACAGGGGGTCCTAGATTCTAGGGCTTCACTTGGCTAGACTTGGTGAGGAAACAGGGGGGGACAGCCTGGGGAAAAGGGGTTCCCCCCATATCCCAGCCTCTTCTCATCCACACACACACAGGATGCCTTTGCACGAGGGGAAGTCTTCATTGGCAGCAAGGAAAGTGGTTACACGGTGCTGGAGGGGCTCCCACCATCTACCCAAGGCCACCACTGGCCCCATGGCATTACCATTGTCACCCCGGACCGCAAATTCCTGTTCACATGTGAGACAGAGGCAGACCAGCGGGAGTGGATCGCGGCCTTCCAGAAAGTGGTGGACAGGCCCATGCTGCCTCAGGAGTACGCAGGTGAGAGGAGTGGGTGCGGGAAAGGAGGGTGTCGGCAGGGTCACGGGTAACAGCCCCTAGTGAAGTGTGGCTCTGTGTCTGCATCCTGAGCCCCAGGTAGGCTGTGGAGGGGAAGCTGTGGGCTATGGAGAGAGGCTGAGTGAGCTGGCAGCTCCCAAGCTTGGACCATTCCTGTTTCTAGTGGAAGCCCACTTCAAGCATAAACCCTAAGGAAGAGAGCCCGGAGGCCCCAGGATTCTGCACTCACGTGGCTGGAGAGGCGGCGTCGGAAAAAGTAGGGGAGCCCAGCCTCCTGGCCCACATCCTGCTCCTTGGTGCAGCACAGGCATGGCCAGGTGGGGCTCAGGCAAGCCCGCTGGACAGGCATTTCTTCAGAACCTCATTGAAGGTGAAGGCAGACTTGGCTCTGGGCCTCACCTGACCCGGGGGCCCTGTCACGCTGCTCCTAGCCGCTCCCAGCTGACCCAGCCACCTTCCTGCTGCTGGAAGCCTTGCCTCCCTACTTAAGCAGGCCCCTACTAACTCTCCTGGCCTGAGGGGATCTTGGCCTCCGGTGCTGGGCTGCTATATGGACAGCCATGGACAGCTGTGGCAGTGGGCTGGCCTGGCTGCTGGGGACTCTGGGACATGCCGCATGCCTCCCCTTCCCTCCCCCATCTCAACAAGTATTTATTGAGCACCTGCTGTGTGTCAGTCAGGGATCAAAGGTCAGGGGTCAGCTCTCCTTCTCCTAGGGTTGACCCAGCTAGGGAACTGGGGGTAGTTTTACTGGGGGCAGTTTTTTCCCCAAGAAAACTTAATTGTGTGCAGAGGCCCTGGGCCCAGCTGCTTGTGGCACCCAGTGCCCTCAGGACAGCTGGCTGAGGTAGCTGGGAGGGAGCCTGCAGGGTGCTGTGCATGGAGCCCAGCAGCGGTTTCCTTGGGAGCCAGGGAGGTCCCAACTGCTTTTGGGCGTCAGTGCCCAGTTCGGTGCTGTCCCCGCTTTGTAACCCATGCCCTCTGACCCTGACCTCACAGTCTTTGAGCCCTTGATGAATAAAAGCCCAAACCAAGAGGTGGCCATGGGCAGGAGTGGCTGCCCCCAGCCCTGATTGCTGCTGGCAGGCCAGTAGTTAAAGCCACCTGTATTTATTTACCCTGCTGCCCTCTGGACACCCCATCAACTGGGCTCCCTTCTATGGGACCCCCCAAAGGGCAAGGTCCTGGCCGCTGGACAGCTGGGGAGCATTAGTGAGGGATACATCTGTGAGTGACCTGATCCTCGTCAAAGCTGCGCCCCAGGGAGCTGGGGGAGGGGTCCTTAGTCGGGCTTCTGCTGCCCTGTGTCATGTCCCCTGGAATAAAGTGTGGCTCTGGCGTGGTCCTTTCTGTGTGTTGATGACTAAAGCAGGATGAGAGGGCTAGCAACCTCCCTTTGAGTAGTAAGAGATATGAGAAGAACTATGTCACTTCCATGGCAGGCCTGACTCTGCAACCTGTGTCCTCTTAGTCCCAGTCACTTTGCCCACTACGGTGTGTGTGTGTGTGTGTGTGTGTGTGTGTGTGTGTGTGAGAGAGAGAGAGAGAGAGAGAGAGAGAGAGAGAGAGAGAGAGAGAGAGAGAGAGCGTGTTACAGCCCCAGGAAGGCCCAGCCCCTGCCCTGGACTGTCCAACCCCAGCAGGAACCCGGGGCTCACCTACCACAGCCTATACACAAGACCCGTCCTAGGCCACTGCTGCCCACATTTGCTAGCCTCCGTGGGTGTGGGCTGTGACAGACCCTGGGTTGAACACTCCTGGCACGTGCCTAGTCACCCAGCTTGCAGGAATGCATGCTGAGCCCAGCAGACATCTTTGGCCAAATCTGGAGTGCTGAGCCCAGGTGTGTACCCAGGTGTCAGCTGGGTCCCCTCAGCCCTCTCACTGTTCTCCCACTTAAAACTGTTTGCATGTGGCCCTGGACAAGGAACCCGCAGCTCCTGAATATATTAGGTAGGCACTCTGTCACTGATCTACGACTCAATTCCTTCTCCCAAACTGGTCAGGGTCCCCATAGCAGCTGGGTTACTGATGACATTCCAGGGTCCCCTCCATTTCCCCCACCAGGACCAACAGGTTCACTAGTGTCATCTTACTGATGGGCCTGTTCTAGAGACTTATGCGTGTAGACATCAGTGTATACTAGCAACAGCGACCACCTTGACATATGTCTAAGTCACCACAGAATGACATAGCAGGGAAGGTTTTTCACTAGATGGGAAATTGGCAACTCAAGAAAAGTCACTGTAACCTTGGACATCTTTCAGCCAGGATGCATCCTGTACAAGGGCTAAGACGATGATGACGTCTCACCCGCTGACAGTGACAGGCATGCAAATGGCACAGTAAACTGTTGGCATGAAGTCCTGAGGAATGGACTGCATGTAGAAGGGACAGTGTGTGCTGTGGAGGTACTGCGGGGTGTGAGGATCAGTTTGTGTGTGTAAGGGGGCACTGCAGGGTGTGAGGATCAGTGTGTGTGGCTAAGGGACACTGGGTTGTGAGGATCTGTGTGTGTATGTGTAAGGGACACTGGGTTGTGAGGATCAGTCTGGGGGGGGGTAAGGGACACTGGGTGTGTAAGAGCAGTGTGTGGGTAAGGGCACAGTGGGGTGTGAGGAGCACTGTGTATGTTAAGAGACATCGTGTGGGGAGGGTTCCATGCATGCCTCATGTTTCTGAACAAATGCCAGCTTTCCTCGGTACTCAACTGGGGTTAACTCCAGGCATCCTCACACAAATACAAAATTTGAATTCTGTACTGTTCCAAAATACAACAATGACATGAACTCCAGTACATGATTCTGAAGCAAATGTCACAGCTGAGCTGAGGCAGCTCTGGTCTATGCCCAGCCCACTACGGCTTCCTTCCTGGTGCCATGCCTAACTATATCCCCACTTTTGGGGGCCTCCCTATGTCTAAGACTCCCCTGTACCAAGCCCCCCCATGCACCCCTCTTGCTCCCCAAGGCCAAGCCACACACCATGATGGAGGCAATTTCAGTAAGACAACTCATTTCTATGTGACAACTTGTGAATGTGGACACCGCTGACACTAGCACTGGCCACTCTGGTGGACACAGCAGCACGGACAGCACAGGACAGGATGTGCTTCCTCCCGAGCTTGCCAGGCCCAGCCTGGACACACAGCCAATCCCACCCTGCCCGAGGTCTCTGCACCCATAGGTGGGGGCTGAATGCCAAGGATCAAAGCCAGCCCCGTCCCCGGCCCAGAGCTCACCCAGAAAGGACTACTGCAAAGCCCAGTAGAAAGGATTTATTTATAGTCAACAGGTGACACAAGCCTTCCTTTAAATTCCATTTTTTACAGTAAATAACGCATATTTCCCTCCTTCCCATGCAAGATAGAGATGTATTAATCTACAACTCTATTTTAATTGTGAAAAAATAAAGTGTCTCCCTTTATAATCAGATTGGTAGCGTGGATATTATCTGTGGTAATGGATGGGGTTGCTCATTCCTGGACTGGTTATTTGGTTAAGTCCTAAAACATCAGGTTGAAAAATCCCTCACCCAGTAAAAATAAATACTGCAACATGAAGGACATGGAAATCTACGGCACCCTTTAAAAACATCTCCAGAGCAGCAGTGTGGGGCTCATGGGGACCAGCAGGGCTGTGGCTTGAATAGACAAGCCCACAGACTACAGCAGGGGCCAAAGCCCTACAGATCACGGGACATGGCCCTGGCCAGCTGCTTGCGACCTCCAAGGAGTCTGCCCACCACAGCACATGTGCTCTGATTCTGGGAAGCTCACCATGATTGCAAAACGACTCTGTGTCCAAACAAAATTCAAACAAACAAGAAACCCGATCTCATCCTCAGGACTCAGGATCTGCCTGGCTCACAGCAGTGGCCACCATTCCTCCAGTATGCCACGGCTGCACTGGACACAGAAGAAGGGATACCAGTCGCTGACGCCAGGCTGCCTGTCACCCTGCAGCCCTCCCCAAGGAACCAGAGACAAGGATGGCAGCGGGGTGCTGCAGCAAGGCCTGCGCTTTATTGTGGGTGATCTGAAGGAACACGGTTGGCCAGCAGGAGCTGGGCCTTGCTCTTGGTCCTGGCCACACAGCCCTCAGCCACCATACATAAATAGGGACAGACTCTGCACAGGTGGCCCCTCCAACTGCGGAGCAGAAGCCCACTACTGGTAAGGGGCCTCGTTCCCAGCCTGGCACTGAATCCATCCCAGTGGTGCCGGTCATGGGCATCTCCATGCTGGCCAGGCAGCTTCAGTCCAGCTCGATGGGGCTGCTGTCATCCTGGCTCTCTTCCCCCTCCTCCTGCTCTGAGGAGCCCATGAGGCTGCTCAGCAAGTTCCCTAGAGGGAGACACCGGCCAGTGATGATTAATGCAGAAGCAGTGCTTTCCTGGAGGCCTGACCTCCCCAGGGAACCCACTACCCAGGTCACCACATTCAAGTAGGTTGCCTAGACAAGACACACCCAGCTACTTGTCAATACCCAGAAACAGTGCTGTTCTGGAAGTCCCACCTTCCCAGAGGAGCTTGATGCCCAGGTCGCCATGCTTTGCAGGAAAACAGAGCCCAGAGGCCCAGCTGGCTACAACTCTTGGAGGTCACACTAGGAATGTTCCTGATGACTAGGGACGGGGCAAGACAAACCCCAAACCTCCACCAGCAGAGGAGTCTGGAAGCCATGAAGGAACAGCTCAAGTCCCATGACTACCAGAGAATCTGCACAGCCCGCAAACCAGAGCCTCAAGGCCACATCTGAGATACCTTACACCCACCTCCTGTGTGCGCATCTCAAATGCACAGACTCACACTGACCACGTATCTGTAACCCTAAGAGTCCTCTATCCCTGAGAGTGAGAGACTGGGTGGGTGTTCTGCAAGGATATAGATGCTCTTCTGCATGCATTTCCCTGTGGCCCCTTGGGTACCCTGGTGGTATTTCTGGGGGAAAGGGGACTTGATGGCTCCAAAACTCTGTGGGATAGACAAGTAAATATCCTAACAACCCTGGACTGCTACTCCAAACTGAGATATGTACAAATGTTTCCGGGAATGCCAATCCCTCAGCAACGCTCAGGCCCGAGGCTCAGACTGGCCACAGTTGAGCCCTGCTCACACTCCACAGGCAGCAGGCTCAAGAGAGATTGGTTAGGAGCATTGCCTGCTCTTCCAAAGGTCCTGAGTTCAATTCCCGGCAACCACATGGTGGCTCACAACCATCTGTAAAGAGGTCTGGTGCCCTCTTCTGGCCTGCAGACATGCACACAGACAGAATATTGTATACAAAATAAAATAAATAAATAAACAAATATTTGGAAAAAAAAGAGAGATAAACATCTAAGAAAAGCTAGGTGTATAGGCTTACACTAGGATCTCAGCACTTAGGAGTGAGTTTAAAGCTAATTTGAGTTACAGGTAGTGACCTTGTCTCAAACAAGCATCAACAACAGGTAGGCAGGGTGACAGACTAGGCTTTAATCCCAGCATCCAGGAGACTGAGATAAGATCTCTCTGAGTTCAAGGCCAGTCAGAACTATATAATGAGATCCTGTTTCAAAACACAAAGCACCAGCCGGGGTGGTGGTGACACAAGCCTTTAATCCCAGCACTCAGGAGGCAGAGGCAGGATCTCTGTGAGTTCGAGGCCATCCTGGTCTACAAGAGCTAGTTCCAGGACCAGAACCAAAAGCTATGGAGAAACCCTGTCTCGAAAATTCAAAAAAAAAAAAAAAACCAATAAACTAGAGAAATACTGTCACAGTCTACACCAAGTCACTAGGACACAGCCCGTGCCCAGAGAGCCCACATGGACTTGTTCATGGTCACACCCAGCTGTACTTCCTTCCACCACATGCACGGAAGGTCCACACTCCAGCAGATAATGACACAGTACAGCTCGTGCCATGCACGATGACTGTAGAGTCACCTGCTAGCAGCGGAGATAGAATTCTGAACATGAACATGAACACAGAAGGGGAGGAGATGCAGGTCAGTGGTAAATCAGTGGTAAAAAAAACTTGTGTGTGCAAGACCTCCCGGAGTCTCCATCCAGCACCAGAAAAAGAAAAGTGGACACTTAAAATGCCCAGAGGACCACACTACCCTGACCCTGCCCTGCCTTGGTGGGGAGGTGCTCATATTTGGAGTTCAGACCCATCAAGCGGTGCTCAGTGGACAACCTGAGCACAGACTTCAACAATAGGTTGGAAAGGACTGAGGAGAGGGAGTCACCTGTCCAGGACCAGACCACACAGCTCACCTAGCAAGCCTCCATAGGAGGATGTCTGCTTTGGCGGCACACCGAAGAAAAGCTGTCCAATCCTGTCGAGGTACTGCAAGAAGCAGGGCAGTAGGTCAGCAGGTGAACCCAACCACAGGGCCCAGCTGGGGCTGCCCGCTCTGCTCCCTCCTCCAGGCTGCTGCCCAGGTGGGGAGCCTCAGCCAAGTGCAAGAGCCTCACCTCGTTGTACATGGGGTCTCTCCGCAGGGACGGCTGATACTGCTCGCACAGCACTGTGAACACAGCCAGCTTGCCACTGCAGTGAGAATCAAGGATGACTCCCAGTGAGACCTGTGGCTGCACAGACACACCAGCACCCAGCACCCGCCCAGATCACTCACCCGTCCACAGCCAGCAGCAGAAACCAGATGAAATTGAGCAGGGGCTGAACGAAGGGTGGCCCATCCTCAATGGATGGGTGCTTCTGTGTGTACGTTGTAAAGACCACCAGTGCACTGTTCTTGTTTTTCAAACAGAGAAACCTGCATGCAAGAATATCTAATGAGTGAAATCCCACAGGCAGACTCGGGTTTCCACAGATGCCCACAAGTGGCCAATACAACACCAAGACCTCGCCTGACAGTAGCACCCGTGCAATCTGGATGTCTGGTGTCTCCACAGGCCTAACGGGGCGCAGGACACTTGGGTGGCCAGGGTGAGTCCTGGGGGCTGCCTCTCACAGGGTACAGATCCTTCCACACACTGGTGAAAGGATTAAGTCTCAGAAGGAAAACAGCTTTGAAGGTCAACAGAGCTAGAAGTTGGGGGCGAAATGGGTACTCATTCCTCAACCATGGCTTCTGCTTTCTCCACATCTGCCTGCATCTGTCAGAGGAGCACATGGTGCAGGGGGCTGAGTAGGAAACTGACCCCGATGCTGTGCTGGGCTCTAGGCAGACTTAGCCTCTGCCCAGGATGTTACCCCAGCGGTCCCAAATCCATCAAGAAAAACATGGTCCCCAGTACTTGAGTGGGGAGACAACAGCTGCAGTGCACACCCAGAGTCAGGCTGGCGAGCTGGAGATGTTACAGTCCCTTTGTACAAACCACGACAACTGGCCATGGTGGTGGAGGTCTGCAGTTCCAGCACTCGGAAGGCTGGAGCAGGACAACTGCTCTAGGTCTGCGGTCAGCCGGGGCTTTACAGTAGGAACAAACTTGTCTCAAAAGAAAATACAGTGCTCTGGGTCCCCACAGCAGACCCTCCTGCCACCATGCGCACAACACAGCACTCTTGTGGATGACCACAGGAGAGCACTGTTCCTTGGGAAGGGGAGGCTGAGGCCTGAAGAAGCAGACAGACGGCTCAGGAGGTAAGGCGCTTGTCATCAAGCGCAATGATGAGTTCAATCCTAGGACCAATATGGTGGAGGGAGAGGACTCCAGCGAGCTCCCTCTCACATTTCCACATGTACATCACAGCATGTGTGTCCCTGCAAATCCCTTCTCTGCACACACTAAGTCAATAAATAAATCTGTAATTTAAAATACCCCGTCTGAAAAACAAGTGCAGTGCCTTCCTGATTTGGGCAGGTGGGGACAAACTGCCCTATAAGCTGTGGCCGTGCCTCAATCCTCCAGGGCAAACACAAGCTGCAGACTCCTAGGCAGGGTGGTTGCAGAGTGCAACTGTGGACACTGTGTTATCTGAAAAGACAGCCTTGGGCCTAAGGTTCTCCCTCCAGCACTGTAGTCTAAGGACAAGGCAGCCTACTCAGGGCTATCTCTGCTCCAGGCTGGGAGCTGCACGAAGGCCCCACAAAGTCCTCACGAGCACTTACTGTAGCACAGCCTGGGCCACGAACATGTCCACTTCACTTCTGAAGCCTCGGGCGGTGGAGTACTCAACCAGCATGTTGGCGCAGCCCTCACCGTCAGTGGAGTGCAGGAAGTGATAGCGAGACTCACAGTAGTTTTGTTCTGTGAAGGGAAAGAATCTGCAGATGGGCACGTGTGAGCATGGGGCACACAGAGCCACCCACTCCTCCCCTCCTTCCCTGGTCCAACCCATTTGCCCTGGGCACACCTGCTGCCTTTTCTAGGCCACTAACCCTGGAACAAGCTATCCGTCTGCACAGCTGCTCACGCCTGCCGGTTACCAGCTTCCTTGTGCTCAGAGACTCAACACCAAACAGCTCAACAGGCACTCAGCTTCCCTTCTCCCTGTTCTAAGTGTGTGAAACTGCTAGGTCTGCCCAACCCTTGTGTGCATGTGAGCTGGGTTACTTCTTCTGTAACTACTACTAACTACTCAGAGGGCCCTGGCTAAGGGAGGCTCCTTGGCACATAGTGAAGCACATCAGTGTCTGCTATGTTAAACCCTAAGACCTAACAGCAGAGAATGCTGGGAATCCTGAGAAAGATCAAGGAGGAACCTGAGATTCCTGGAGCCTTAACAACGGAAAGGAGGAAAGGAGCCTCTCAACACCAACAACTGGGGTCCCCCAGCCTATAACCCACCCACAAAGGTCTTTTCCGCCTAGGACTTTTGGGTATCTGAGAGCAAGAGAGCAAGCAGTAATTAACGCAGACCCTCATTCCCAGCCTGCTCCTGTCTAGCAAACACCCGCGAGGCAGGGCACTCTGGGAAGTGAATAGTAGACTAGCCTGGGCAACTTAGTCTTGAAGCAAGTATTTGGGAGCCCCCAACCCCCTTCCGCAGGTAGCCATGATCCCTGGGATAGCTGTGGCCTGGACTCAGTACCTCACCCATTCCCAGGGGACACAGCCCCTATAACCTCTCTCAGACGTTGCTGCTGAGTGGATCTGAGAATCCCTGCTGGCAGCCCCATCGTGCAGACTGTTTCCAAACCATGTATCAGGCATGTACTGTGTGAAGGCCTGGGCCACAGGTGACAGACAGCTTGCTCTCAGCCGGAGGACAGAACAGCCCTCAAGAGGAAGGCAGCACTCTGAGGCACACACACAGTAGGCACACATGGCACCTGCACTCCTGAGCTCTGGGAGGTTTTCTCTGAGTTTCCCTGAAGATCCTGATCTTTCAGTCTCCAGAGTCCTGACTGTCCTCTGGAGTGAAGGCAGAGTGCAGTGCCCAGGAGGGAGGGAGGAGAAGACACCATAAGCCCATAGGACGTATGGAAGTCTGTCCCAGCACAGTTGCTATGGGGGGTGTACCTCTGGGTGGACAGCTGCTGGACTCTAAGAACTGGGTCAGGTACACCCACTCTGATTGCCATGGCTGTAGCCAGAGGGGGCGTAGCAGCAAGTCTTGCTCACAGAACTAGTCTATACTCAACTTTGGATGACATACCTCTGGCTCAGACCTCTGCGATGCCTGATGCACAAAGGAGGGTGTGTGCCACCGGTCACTGTGTACTTCTAAATACGCCTCTTCTCACCCAAGCTCCATTAGGCCCAGCCCACCCATTAGGAGGGCTGTAGCAAGAATGCGGTACAGCTCCACACTGAATGCCACTGGGTAGGAGCTGTTCAGGTTCCAGCAGACATTCACCAAGCATGTGTCTTGTGCCCAAGCCAACTCAAGAGCCAAGACCAGGTACAACTGCAATCCACTCCATGGAAAATAATCTAACCAAAGCTCACCCCAAACTGAGATAAACATTAAGAGAACTACAGAGCAGGGAGTTACCAAAGGGATGGGATGTGGATGCTCATTGAGGAAGGAGGAGTGGGAGGTTGTGGGAAGAGGAGTGTGTGACTGACCAGGTTAGAGAATCAGGACAGAGATTGGAAAGGAAGCAGCACCACTCCCCAGGGGTCCCTTATGAGCTGTGGAGGGTCCATCCAGAGTCAGTCTACTACCAAAGCAGAAATACTGGACTAGCTGGTTCAAAGACAGGCTGATGTGCTTTCCCCATGGCCTCTCCCAGCTTATCAGCAGGCAAGTACACAGAGGATTCGGCTGCTGGCTGAAGGCAGGGATCCCATGCCTACCTTTCCAAAGCGTTAGGGCCAGCAGCTGGTGGAGCCGAGGATGGCCCAGCTTCCCAGACCCTCCACTGGACCACTTCAGGGCTCTGGACACAAAAGCTACTCGCTCAGGGGAGTTTGGATCCATCAAACTGAACACTTTAGCCAGATTTTCTGTAAATGACACAATCGGACCCTTACCAAAGGCACATGTGAGGTGTCCCACATCAACAAAAATCTAGCACTCTGTGAAGAGGCTAGCGAGTACTGTATGTTTAAGACTAGCCTGGGATACAAGAGTTAGACCCTGTCTCAGCCCTCAACTACCCCCTCCCATTATATAACTTCAACAAAGGTCCAAAAGCCATTAGAGTGCTGCTGGGTGTCCCACATGCTCTGTAGGTCTGGGGCCTCCTCTGGTTGGCTTGCCCACTGCCCTTCTGACTACGTTGATGTGGGTTGGCCATGCTTGGAAGCAGTTCTGTGGTAGCAGAGGACCAGCAGGAAGGCCACAGGGCAGTTTACAGGAAGGGCTCTAGCAGCCACATGATGGCTCAGTGGGATTAGCTGCCAACAGGTCTGTAGTGTGTACCCATGGGCTCAGCTGGGCATGGCCAGTGTGATCACCCCATGACAAAAATCAGTCCTGGAGTGCAGAGACCAACCCCTGCCCCCCACACCAAGTGGGACTAGAACCAGTGAAGGGACTCTAGAGAAGATCAGTCACAGAAGCCCGTGTTGACAGGCTACTGCACACTCAACACACAGTGTGGAGTCCTCACCCAATAGCTCATCAGCTACGTCCACCTCTGCCTTCTCCAGGGATTCAAGGACCAGCATGGACAAATCAGCCGCACTGTTCTGCTGCAGAACAATCAACATACAAAACCACAGTTAGCAACAGGGTCCCCTAGTCCTTTAGAAGAGTTGAGGTAAAGCAGAGGGCTGCAGGCTCTGCAGATGGCAACCTATAAACACATAGCTAGGGATACTGTCTTGCCAATGAGCAATACAGCTGGGTCACTGGCAACTGGCAACCAGAACCAAGCCTAGAGCTCCAGTCACAAAGGTCCCACAGCAACTGGAGACTAGGACCCTATGCCATTGGTGGTCAGAGCCCAGGACAGTTTGATACACCCCACCCTCACTCCCAGACCTTTCCCCATGGTGGCAGCACTTACCTGGCCATGACTAAAGAAGAGCAATGCTCCTGAGTACATGAGCTCCCGGGCCTCTGCATGTTTGCTTTGGGACATGTATCTGCAAAGAGGGAAAAAGAAAAACCTAGTCATGCACCATACAGATGCCTACAAGGGGTGCTTGCATTGTGTTCTATGTGCCAGCTAGCTCTGCCTGAGGTTGCTACAAATGCCAAGGTAAAACTTAAGAGAATACTGCTTCTGAGTATGCTGGGTGCTGTAGTACTGCCCTGGCCAGCTACTCTGAACAGCAGATATAGGGAAGGGTCTGAGGATACAGGCCCTATTAGCAATACACCCACCTGAACATGCAGGGTACCCTCCACCCAGGTCCAACAAATAACCCAGGGAGAAGCCAGAGCAGACTAAGATGTAACTTCCATGATGGGACAGGGAAGATGGGCACTGTCTACCTTAAAAGAGAAGGACTGATTTGTATGTAGGGGACAATTGAGGATAGATCTCTGAAGAGAACAATACAGCAATTCTACCAACTGTGTACAGGCCCAGGTGTGGACGCCCTCATCCTTATACTCAGCAGGTGTGATGAGTGTCCCACCATCACCCAAGAACACAGCCAAGGCCCCATGGACAAATCTAGAGTTTAAGATGACTATACAAAAGCATTAATAGTACAGGCAACACTCAAATCAAGTCTGGAGACATCACCAGAATGGATGTCTCTTAGGGTGTATCCAACCTCCAGATACCCTCAGTGAGGCACAGGTACCCAAACACCTTGTAGCTGCAGTGACAGTAAAGCCAGCATATGAAAGGCAACACTGTTAAGATGGATGTCACCTGTCACTGACCACCCTTGGGCCTTGTTAGCAGTGGCCCCATAGAGTTACCAGGCATTTTGGGGTCCCATCACTAGCCCGGCAGGTAACTTTACTGCTGTGTAGTTATTTCTTCCAAATTGTAGTAATCCCTCCTGGAGGGAGCTCCTTAGCCCTAGAGAAGTAAACATACTCGGCGTAGCCAGGCCCTGAAACTTAACAAACTTCACATAGCCTCTCCCCAAGGCTTTATGAACAGTAACAATTGGTGGGGAGAATGGACCCACCCACAAGCTGAAAGCTGTGCAGGGAACTCCAACGATGTAGCTGTCTTTGAGTCATCCATTGTTCTGTAAGCCCTATGAGCTCAAAGGCTTAGTAAGCCGGCTGTGGGTTCAATCATTTCTTTGGTCTGCTGGCAGTGAATAGGTATTTGTTCACGTCTCTGCAGGAAGGGTCACACCACACAACTGGTGACCTGTGTAAGAATGGACTATCTATGAGGCAATCCATTGTTTTCCTTTCTCCGTGTGGGATGGAATGGCGTACTCCTTGTTGGAGTGGTGGGTGCATGCTCCAGGCCACGGGTGACAAGACATGCAACCAAGGCCAAGCTCTCTGAAAGCAGAGCATTCCTAGGCAGAATCAACAGGTGGCCATCTTCTTGTACTTGGTATTTAGATGTCATGGGCATGTTACCCAAGCCACTGATGGACTAGAGACTTTACCTCAGTCCTTGACTGTAGCACATAAGGTAACAAGTTGCACTATCAGGTACATAGCCTTTGTTGTGGGAAAAGACACACGATGTTTCCCATCACATTATCCCCTGGCAGGAAAAGTAGAGAAAAGTTAGGATGAGAGTGAGACCCAAAAACTTGACTGGGAAGAAACTAAGATTGGGGAGGAAGAGAACATGGTAGAAATTACAGAAGACACCTCACAAGTCCAACCTTTAAAAGGGGAAAGTTCATGATTCAACAAGCAGACAAGCCAAGATGTAGGGCCCATGGGTCTACCCCTGCTCCCGGGGTTCATCTTGAGGACAGTTTCTGGTCAGCCAGCTAAAACATTCTGTTTGTGCTGGGCGGTGGTGGCGCATGCCTTTAACCCCAGCACTTGGGAGGCAGAGGCAGGCAGATCTCTGTGAGTTCGAGGCCAGCCTGGTCTACAAGAGCTAGTGCCAGGACAGGCTCCAAAGCTACAGAGAAACCCTGTCTCGAAAAAACAAAAAACAACAAAAAACAAAACATTCTGTTTGTTCCTGTGCTCCCTCTGCCTGGGCTGGTGATTAGCTGTAGGGCATTGTTTACTCCATCTTGGGTATGGCACTTTCCTGGGAATTTCTTGTGCTGCAGCTAGGTATTTAAGAATTCCCCCCCCCCCCAATGTTGAATCTCCTTTCGAATGACCCAGGTCTCCTGTGTGTTCTTTCAATCTCCAGGACCTTGCCCGGCTCACGTATGGTACAGTGGCGCGCGAACTGTACCGAGAGGGTAACGCAGAATCAGGTGATACACCAAGAAACTAGAAGGGAGCACTTGGCATCTGAACTGTTTGATGGGGAAAGACTTAAAAACACATAGTCAAAGGGCCTGTCACATCCACTGCTGCACCGCTGCTGCAGAACACAGCGAGCAATGGGATCAATCTGAATGCACTGCAAGCATAGAAAATAGGCAAAATAATGATGTGCCTCTCCTTGAGACAAAGATCGCACAAACTTAGGTGACAGGAGAGAAATCAGCCCTGGTGAACTGGCTTCTAAAGCTTCAAGGGCTGCCTGGTTATTGCTGGCTGAGGTCCCCGTGAATATCAGGGAATGAAAGAGAGCAGAGGAAAAATAGACATCACTAAGGACACTGCACACGAGAGAAATACTGCCCAATGTTCAGTTCACTAAGTCAGAAGTTCACAGAAGAATCAAGACCAAGGTTGATTGAGCAGGGACCATGGACTGGGATGGGCTTTGCTAGCCCCATGGTGAGACGTGATCTTCATGACATAGGAGAAGCTCTAGCAGATCTGAAAGACTGACATGTAAACCAGATTCAGAAAACAGCAAAGGGGAGAGCAGCGATGATAGAAAAAGAAAGAAGGAAAGAAAGAAAGAAAGAAAGGAAGGAAGGAAGGAAGGAAGGAAGGAAGGAAGGAAGGAAGAAAGAAAGAAAGAAAGAAAGAAAGAAAGAAAGAAAGAAAGAAAGAAAGAAAAGGGGGTGCCTAGGCCACTCAATGGCAAATGTGGCAAGATCTGTGTTAAATTGAAATTGCTGAAAAAAAAAATAACAAACAAAAACAACAGAGTCAAGTGCTGTGCTCATGAACTTCTCAGAGGCTTTAAAACCTGAGCAACAATCCACAAACATCATTGCAAAAACAGTATAGTAACAGGGTGGGCAGTTACTGCCCCAGCACACAGCACACTGGGATAAAGACTGCTCAGACTGGGGCTCCTTTCAGCAGTAGTGGTCTGGAAGTAACTTAGGGTGCCTGTCAGAACTGAGGAACCAGGTCCAGAGGTAAGCCAGGAGTTCCTGCCTCTCTTGGGCCTGAGCCAAGGCAAGCAGTAAGCCTGCCCAGCAGAACACCAGGAACAAAGACGCACAGCAGTCCTGGGGCAGCAGCAACCCAGGGTGACATTAATGGTTCATGGAAAAATGCCTGTGGCTTCTGGAGGTCAGATAGGGTGCTGTCCCCCAACCATGGTACTGGACTATTGTCTCCAACATTTCTCTTGTGACACAACAACTTCCCTGCTGGTCCAGGCTTGCTACTAACTCTTTTTAGGATCCTCGTAGCTGCTCAAGACTATGGACATTTACTTGGAATGGGTAACTGTGCACCTCCAGAACGCTAACCCTCTAAGTATCTTGCGGATGTGTAAAAAGCATGTAGAACAGGAGATAGAGAAATTAAGAAGCTTAAACAAAGACAGCCTGACCTATGAGAAAGGTACTCTCAGAAACAGTACGGGCGTTGGGTGAAAACTGCACTGCCAGGTGTGACCTGCCTCTGTTAAATTGTTGGCCAGGGAGACCCCACAAACAATAAAGGTTACATGCTAGAACCTACTGTTAAAGATACCACATGCTTTGGCTGCAGGACATATAAGAATAAGGCCTAGATCTCAACTAAAGTTCCCTTCCCACTCACAGACTTTTGTAGTGCCAGGAGGCACTGAGGCTGGTAGGGGATAACTGTTACTGACTATCTGAAAGGTTACGGACCCTTCAGACTGCAGTACCAACATGCCAGGGAGGATGGGCAAAAGTCCATAGCCAACAAGGCCGCAGGTCCCTAGGGAAGACTACTGCTATTGCTTTGTTAAGTGGGTAGACTGTGCAGGTCAAATTAAACATTTGTATTTTCCTCACTGATTACTGCTGCTGCCTCTCAACTGGTCATGGAGGGAAGTTTCTTTTTTGCAGTGGGGGTGTAGTTTAGAGCCTCATAACAGATCAAGTTTCTCAGACGGACTGTTGTGGCACAGCGGCACAATATTCAAGCACAAATGAAGGAAAAGCACCCCAAGCCTCAGCAAGCACTGCTGAAGAGGGGGATCAGAAAGACTCTTACTCAGGAAGTAAAGAAGCATCACAAGTCTCAAAAATCTGCAACTTCCAAGATGCACAAGGCGGCAGAAACAGTAACAACCGCTAGATAAATAAGATATATTCATCAGCTAAGTGGCCTGCAGATCCAGCTGGAAATCCAGGGATACACTCACTGCCCATACTGGGGTGGTCTTTCCAATGATGCTGCTGCCTTTGGGTCATCCCTGTTCCTTAGTATCCCCTCATTCACACTCTTGTAAGTAACCCCAATAAACTCACTAGTTCACTAATCTAGACTTGAAAAAATATCTGTTGGTGCCCTACTGAGTGAAGAGATGCTTGTTCAAATGCTGTGCTCATAGGCAAACAACCTCATGTTGCTATCAGCATCAACAGAGACTACACAGGTACTGTTTTTCATGAGTCACTGGTTTAGGGTGGCTTGTGCAGGACACCAGACTCCCGAGTCCTTCTGTCTAAGGCTTATCAAGAGAAACACTCACTGAGACCAAAGGAAGTGTCCTTCAATAACAGACTAAATTACCGAGATCTGAATCTCCCACTGACCGTGTCCTACCTTACTGGAATTACCTGCTGCCAAGCCAAAGGAAGATTGTAAAGATAAAAGTCCCAGGCAATAATTAAAACAAATTTCTCATCACAAAATTCCTGGAGTGGGGTGGGGGTGTGTGTGGGTGTTCCTCCTGGGTGACTATGCAGACTAGGTG